ACCCCTACCTTTTAGGGGATGTTTAGTATTGTATATTAGTTCTGTTTATGCCTGATTTATGCATTGAAAATCGGGAGAAACACATATTGGGTGCAAATTATAATGTAATGATTGTTTATTTATTTTTAGAATCATTTACTAAAATACCCCTTGTAATTTTATGGATTTATTAAAATTATTTTATAGTTTGTGTTTTACTAAAACACCCCTATAGTTTACAAGCAATTTACTTAATCAACCTTTCATAATATGGAAGTGAAAAATGACTGTTTTGACCTTAAGATCCCTTCAAACAAATTTAATAGACAAAAAATAAAAATGAAAATATCATTCTTGTGCCCAATAAAATGTGAGCAATAACTCTATTCGGTAAAATTTGTTGTTTGTTTGAACATTGTTGACAAAGAATCCAATATGTCATTGTTCTCTCTTCTTCATTCCCTTGAAGCCAAACAATTTTCTTGATAGATTTGAAAGTCAAGCCTTGTTTCTTTCTAGAAGCTTGATATGAAGTTTTATAGGTACTTTTGGAATAAAAAAGCAGGGGTTCATGCCCTTAAACATTTTCCATTCTGCTTAAATGGCCATGTTACCATTCTTAGACAGAAATACAAAAAACTCTTAATGGAAGATTGATTAAGTAAATTGATTGTAAATTATAGGGGTATTTTAGTAAAATCCAACTATTGGATAGGTTTTAGTAAATCTGTGAAACTACAAGGGGTGTTTTACTAAATGACCCCTTGTAGTTAGACACACTGGGGGTTGTTTGAGCATTTATATGAGCAGAAATTTTCCTTTAAAGCGAGTTTCATATAACTAGAGATAAGTAGTACAAAACATTTCTACCTAATAGCCCACCAAACATAGTTATGGTTTGGTAAAGCCTAAGCGCCCATGTGGCGTTGATGTACCATTGGAATAGAGTAGCAACAAGCATACAATTCAATGATACCAAACATCCACTTAGGGGTTGTTTGAACACCCCTAATTGTTTTTGTTTATGTTCATGTGACAGTTGTTTCTGTTTTTGTTTTAAAAAATAAAACCAATCATATTGTGGAGCATACCTTTCCCTAAGCTTTCCTTCAAACCAAACACAACATTAGTGTTTCAATGAATTCAAAGATTGATAAAAATATTATATGATATGTACCAATGTATTGCAATATTTTACGTTACCATATTTTAAACTTTGATAGAATGCAAACACAAATATATTCAGTGTAAAACCTTTATATATTATGTTCGTAAACCTTGTATTTATGCACTCTTCTCAAACCGAGCCAAGGGGGATTTTCAATTCATTTTGTTATGTTGCAATGAGTGTGTATCATGCAACAATAATGTTAGGGCCTTATAGTGAAGGTATAAAAGAAAGCAAACATAAGCGAAGTTAGGATGGATTTGATATTTTGATATGCGATGGGCCAGGCTCTTTTCCAATAGAATGAATATATTATAGCAAAACAATAATGTTTTAACGTGGTAGTAAGGCTTTAATGACACAGGCCTCCAGATAGGGACTGTGGGCCTTGATGAGCCCAATTTGAACCAAAGCGTTGCAGAAGAGCCTTGCTTGAGCTTTATAGTTTATACATGGAGATGGAGTCAAGAAAATCTGTAATTAGCAAAAGTTGTCGTTGGGTGATTAGTCAAAATTGCTAACAGTACAGCAGGACTGGAGTTGGGTGAGGGACCGAGTCAAGCTGCACAAGGCCCGTCGCACTGACAAATGACAATGGACATCCGCTGTGTAAGATGCGCTTTCAGGTTTAGAAAAACCGAAAACGAATCAATTGCATTTTACGATCGTCACCATCTCAGTAGGGTTTGTAAGGACTCAAGAACCTGGGTTTTAGTCGGGCAAAGAAGTAAGATACCGGAAGAAGTACCATGTAGTAATTAAATGAAATACACATGAAGCCTGGAAAACAAACAAAATGAAGTAAATGAAAGGGGATTGGTATTTTACTGTTTTTACCTTTTTTCCCCATCCATATTTGCTTTGCATCTACCTCTTTGAAAACTGTAATTAATTTTGCTGCTGGACTCTGTGGACAGCCCTCTGTAATACGGAAGATTGTCCAATTCGATCTTTTCACCCTATATTATATGTAGGAAATTAAGGGTATTTGTCGGTAGACAAAAGGTACAACCAGCAACAATATGACATGGACGAGGACACTGGACACCATAACTGACCTACAGCTAGACCTTCCCTTCTCCATCCATCTCATGCCTCCAGAGTCCACATGGCCATCATAATTAATATATATATATATATAAACATAGATTAACTAAAAAGCTACAGGAAAGAAACCATTTTGCTAGTGAATCAAGAAACTATCTTGATGAATATTAATTGTTTCAAATTCACAATTTAATATCAGGAAAAATAAAGAAAAGGGTCTCAAAAAAGGACCAAATACTCCTCTATCACTATAGTATTAAGTCTTAATTCTCAAAGTCTAAAGTATCATACATCTGATAGGCATATTGGGTGTTTTGATATCTAATAATTTTTTTAAAGGTCAGTTTAGAAAGATTAGCGATACAAATATTCACAGTGCAAATAGATATCAAAATAATATAAAATACAAGACTTTATACTCTACATATTTGTATCAGTACTTCTTCTAAACTAGGGCTTAAGGTTTTTGTTTCCAAAATTGCTTTAGATTCAGTTTGGAAGGAGTACAAATACAAATATGTAGAAATATATAAAATAAGGAAATTGTCTAAAACTCACCAAGAGTTTTCAGCATTTCTCTTAAACTCGCCACAACTTTTCAAAATGTCTAAAACTCACCATGTCAGTAAGTTTTTATTTTACAAAACCCACCTTCCGTTAGTGCACCGTTAATGCTTCTTAACAGAGGTGTCCATGTCAGCATAAAGAACAATTTTCATGACCAAATTACCCTTGAATGGCGAGTTAGAGGAAAAATGGTTTTTTCAGTTTCCAATTTTCTTGTTCTTTTTGCATTTTTAGTGTTTTGTTATAATTTCCAATGTTTTTTATAATTTCTGTTTTTTACAATTTTCTAATTTCTACAATCTATAAATTTTCCTGTATTTTTTGTTATTTATTTGCAATTTCTGTGTTTTTCTATAATTTTTGGTGTTTTTTCTACAATTTTTATTTTCTGATTTTGTTTTTCAATTTCTATAATATGAAAAAATTTTTTTTTGAATTTTTTTTTTCCTTTTTTCATGTCTAAATATTAAAATGGTAATATATTAACACCCGTTAATTTATTTTGTATATATTTTATATTTTTCTGTGAAGGATA